GGAGAAGATACATGAAAGAATTTCTTTTTGAATAATCTTCCTTTCTCTGCTAACCTCCTGTTTCTGTTATGTCCTGCTTTTTTTTTTTCCAGGAACTATATTATTTTATTTTATTTATTATCTTTTTATTGAAGAGTAGTTGATCTGCAGTATTGTATTTTACAGCTTAGCAATTCAGTATTTTTGCAGATTATCTTCCATTATAGGTTATTACAAGATAGTGGGTATAACTCCCTGTACTTTACATATATCCCTGTTGTTTATCTATTTTATATATAGTAGTTTGTATCTGTTAATCCCATATTCCTAATTTGCCCCTCCCGCTTCCTCTCCCCTTAGGTAACCACAAGTGTGTTTTCTGTATCTGTGAATCTGTTTCTATTTTGTATATAGATTCATTTGTATTACTTTTAGATTCACATATAAGTGATATCTCAAAATATTTGTCTTTCTCTGTCTGACTTATTTCACTAAGCATAATACTCTCTAGGTCCATCCACATTGTTGCAAATGGCAATATTTCATTCTTTTTTATGGCTGAGTAATATTCGTTGCATGCTTATAGACCACATCATCTGCTGGTAAGCACTTGGGATGCTTCCATGTCTTGGCTACTTATAAATAGTGCTGCTTTGAACACTGGGGTGCATGTGTCTGTTCAAGTTAGTGTTTTCATGGGATTGCTGGGTGATAAGGTAGTTCTATGTTTAGTTTTTTAAGGAACCTCCATACTGTTTTCCACAGTGGCTGCACCAGTTTACATTCCCACCAACAGCATAGGAGAGTTCCCTTTCCTCCACATGCAATGTCCTGCTTTTGTGGAAGCGTGAGGAGCCGGGATGCGGGGATATAACCCCCGCATCTCCATCGCGGTATTTTAGAGTCTCCCGGGAAAGTAGATTTTTCCTTTTTCACGCAGCGTAACGGTATGTGCCCCAGTTCTCTTGTACTATGAGACCTTCATGATGCAGTAGAAACGCAGGCGCTTATGACCTGGAAGCCCAGGTGTGACCTTGAGTGATCTCGAAAGGTCTGCAGCTTCAGGTTTCCCATGTGGCCGATGGATCAGTCTCCACCTGCCTCCCTCCACAGGGACTCTGTGAGGATCAGATGGTGATGGGGATGTGCCAAACCTTCAAAAGGGGCAGCCTTAGTCTCATGTCTCCTTCAGGCTGACTCAGAGTCAGGAGCACCAGGGAGGCACCCATTCTGGGCCCGGCTGCCTGCAGTCAGGCAGGAGAGATGCTTCTCATTCCTGTCCTGTTGCTGCCTGCTGAGCCAGGATGCTGGGCTATTCCCTTCATTTTCCTGGACCATGCTTGTCTTTTTACAATGGTACATATATATATAAAATATATATCACATACATGTATATATATTATTAAGATATATTCACAGACCATAAAATTCACCCTTTAACACAATACAATGTACAATACAAAGGGTTTTGGTACATTCAAAGTTGTGTATCCATCACCACTATGTAATTCTAAAAACTTTTCATCAATCCAGAAAGAAACCCTGTACCCATTAACAGTCATTGCCTATTCCTCCGTCCCCCAGCCCTTGGCAACGGCTAATAGATTTCTGTCTCTATGGATTTGCCTCTTCTGGACGCTTCATATAAATCGCATCACAACATGTGGCCTTTTGTGTCTGGCTTCTTTCATTTGGCGTAATATTGTCAAGGTTCATCCACGTTGTAGCGTGTGTTAATACTTCATGCTTTTTTATGACTAAATGTTATTCCATTGTATGTATAGACTGCATTTTATTTAGCCTTTCATCCGTTGATGAGCATTTGGGTTATTTCCTCCTTTTGGCTATTGTGAATAGCACTACTATGAACATTCCTGTACCAACTTTTGTTTGATCACCTATTTTCTATTCTTTGGGGTATATACCCACTAGAGGAATTGCTAGGTCATTTGTGTTTAACTTTTTGAGAAGCTACCAGACTGTTTTCCATGGTGACTGCACCATTTTACATTCCCACCAGCCACACACAAGGGTTTCAGTTTCTCCACATCCTTGCCCATACTTGTTATTGTCTTTTTGATTACAGCCATCCTAGTGGATGTGAAGTAGTCTCTTATTGCCAACTTCATTCTGGGCTTGCCTGCTTGTGTGTTCGGTTTGGCTCTGGGCGTGGGCTTCTGGGGAAGATGGGCTTGCTGTGTTGGGATGCTTGGAGTACTGCCTTGGACTAAATGATGCTTGCAGTGTGGCTCTTTTCTACTCCTGTGCTGCATTGAAGTGATGGGGACTGGGCTGTGTTGCAAATAAATTGATTATATGTGTGTGTGTGTGTGTGTGTGTGTGTGTGTGTGTGTATACACACATGGTGTAGATTTTTAGCCTATAAAATCCTTTAGAAAATGCAGCCTTATTTCAGACCTTCCATATGTAGAACAGATGGGTGGTTTCGAAACCACTGGGCTCGATGCCTTCCAAGCTCTGGAATCTGAGTCTAACCACTAGAGACTTCCTGCCTAGCAGCCTCCTCAGCCCTCACTCCTGTCCTGGTTGCCTGGGAAGAGGGGGGCGCTTGCAGCATTTGACCAAGCTGTGGGCCTGCCCCGGGCTGTGCTGAGATTGCTGCGGTGAGAAGGAGTCCAGTGGCTCCATCTGTGGTTCCAGCTCTGAGAGCAGTTTGTGCAGGAAACAGGAAGCAAGCTGGAAAAATGCCACCACCGCGTCCCTTCCCAAGTCAAGGAAGAAGGGTCCTGGGTTTCGCTGGTGATTCAGGAAAGTGTAGTGGCTGATGAAGTCGCGAAGCCAGTGGGAGGTCCACGTGAGTAGCCCTCACAGCACTAATCCCCTGAGATCCAGGGATGGCTGCTGGAACCCTCCCGGCTGTCTTCCACCTTCCACTTCCTCTGCATTAGCATTCTAGGAGCACCAGGCGCCCTGCTGTTTGATGGGCAGGCGGAATGTTCTGCATTCTAGTGTTGCCTTGGCAGGGAGACGATTCCTCCCAAGTCGGTCTGTTCTGTTGGTTGCATTGCTCTGCTTTCCACCGCCGTGAGAGGCCTGAGTCATCAGACACAGACTGTTCTGTTCCCTTGGATTTTAGGATAGCTTTCTTCTTTTATTGATGGCTAATTCTTTGGGGAAAAAAAGATAATTTATAGTACATACAGGGACTTTCACTTAGCTGGAATATTAGATTGCCCCAAGCGTCTGGTTTCTCCCCCATAACTTGCTGGTAGAATAAAATGCCATAGTGTCTCCTTGGAGGATGCAGCTTCTTAATTTTACAGATGGAGAAACTGAAACCTAGGAGTTCTAGTGATTGAAAGGGAAGGAAGCATCAATTGGAAGTCTATCATTTCATTAACAGCCCTAGAATTAGAGAATGTTGGACCCAGAAGTATCTCAGAGACCATCTATCCAACACCCTTGGTCTATCATACGTGCCTGTTTAAACCATTGTGTTACTAACAGTTGTGTGTTGATGGTGTTTATTTTATGAACTCCAGAGGGTGGTTTTCCCTGAATTTCAACCCAAGGCATGGCCTGCTAAGTGGTCAAGAGAGTAAGTGACGGGAGAAGTCCCAGGAGGGAAGGCCTGGCAGGCAGAGCCTTACAGAAAGCGTGATGTGTACAGGAGGACAGGGCCGGGCAGGGCAGGTGCTGCCGGCTGGGCAAACAGCTTGTGCAAAGATGTGGGAGGAACTTACAGGGCTTTCCTCAGGGGTCAGCAGGCAGCTGTGAACCGGTTGGAAAGGGTATAGGCGAGAGGGCCTTGAATGCCAGGATCAAGAGCTTTGCCCTAATATTTACTCAACTGGGGGCCTTTGATGAGTTTTGGGGTTCCAGGCCTTTTTCTCTATTGCTCCTGCTGCTGCCCTGACCCAGGCCCTTCTAATTTTCGGATAACCTCCTAACTGATCTGTCTGCCTCTATTCTTGCCCCTTTCCAGCTATAGTCCACAAAAGCCCCTGCTTAGGAGCTTTCTCAAATGTAAATCTGATTCTGTCCATCCCCCTTTTAAGCCCTTCCATGGCTCCCTATTGCCCAGTGGACAAGATCCTGGCTTTTGCGGCCCTGTATAACCTGCCTACCCCCCGCTTCTGCAGCCTCACTCTCGCTGTGCCTCTGCCTCTCCCAGGTTGCCTAGTTTCCTGAGCAGTCACGCTATTGAATCACTCACTGCTTTTGCCCAAGCTTCTCCATCCCTCCCACTCACTTTCTCTGCCTGGTGAACTCCTATTCATCCTTCAAGACTCAACGTAAATTTCCTTTTGTAGAGGCTTTCCCTGACCCTCCTGAAGCCACCATTAAGCCCTGAATGTGCTTCTGTTTTGAAGCTCACATTGCGTTGCAGTTATCTACCTCCAAAATCCTGGCAGTTCCCATTTTTGAGTGTTGTGTGGTGGGCCCTGGGCTAAGCCCCATGCATGTGTTACCCCGTGTTATTCTCACAATAACCATATGAGATGCTTTGAGTTAGAGCCCCACTTACAGATGAGGAAGCGAAGGCTCAGAGAAGTGGCGTGACTTGCCCAAGGCAGACAGCTGGAGGGTGATGGAACTGGGATTTGAGCCCAGATCTCTGACTATTTCTGACTCCTTCCATCTCCTGTTCCCTGGATCCTGCTAGATCCCCTGAATCCCCATTGTGGGCCCTCAGGAAACACTGGGCATGTGAGGGACTGATCAAAGGGGTGGATGCAGCTGAGTTGCCATGGTGTGGGCAGGATGGGGAAGTAGGAGGCTGGGGTGAGAAGGGGCTGGGCTTACTCTGGCCTGGATGGAGGTGATGAGCGAGTGTCAGCCCAGCTCCCCACAGCTGAGGGTTTCCTCTTCACCTTCCATTCCAAGTGGCAGCCTCTGGCCACCTGGGGACAGGCCTGCAGGACTCCAGGCCGAGCAGATAGCATGGTGACAAATGCCATAGCAACCTGCCTCCTCCATGGGGCCCAGAGGGGAGGGAGGACTTGAGAGAACACAGGGTGTGCACCAAGGCTTCTGGGCTGGATTCTGGAGAGGCAATGCCCTTTGGGCCTCGGTGTCTTCTGCCCTCCCATGAGGGACCTCAGTCTGCAAGGTCCTGTTCCAGCAGGGGAAATGCCACTTCCACTTCTGTCCTGGATGAATGGCTGGCTTTGGCCTCCCAGGAGACTGTCAGCTCCATCCAGGTACAAATGCCATCCCCTTCCCAGCCCCGGCCAGAGAGGAAGGAAGAGGGAGCACAAGAGGAGGGAGGAGTGGAGTTGCCAAGCAAGGTAGGAGCAGGGACAGCTGGGACAAAGCCCTCATTGTACCAAGGCCACACGCAGCTCCGAGGCAAACCAGGCAGCGTGCCTGCCTCCCAGGACCTAGGCCTAGAACTCTGCCCGGACTTTCCGAGCTCCTTAGCAACACTCACTGGAGCTGGCTTGGAAGAGTGAGGCCCAGCCTCAGCTCTGAGTCCTGCCTCTGCTAAGAAGTCCTCCCAAAAGCCCGGACGGGAGGGAGTGGTGATGGGAGGATGGCCGATGAAGCCAGGCTCCTTGGGGCTAGAAGCCAGGGCCTGTTGGATATGAAGCTGTGTGACCTTGGGCACAAATGTGATAACACATCCTGCCTTGAAGCAATGTTATCTGAAGTAATGGGCCAAGGCACATGAAAGCACTCAGCATGGTCACCTGGCCACAGAAGGGTTCAGTCAATGACAGGTGGTCCTTGAAGCCCTTGCCCACCCATGAGCGAGGACTAGATCCCTGCCCCCACTGTCCAGGCCCTCCTGGGCCCAGGAGGCAGTGGGCCATTGGTGGCCTTCCTGGCAAGTACGGAGGAGCGCCGTTGTCCCCCCAGCCCCTGTCCCGTGGTTCCTCCTCCTGGGTTGCAGGAGGCCCTGCCCAGGGAGGCATGATGGGTGGGATGTCACCAAGCTGGGGTGAGCAGCTCAGGTGACAGGCAGGGTGTCGACGGCTCCTGTGCCCGGCACCCGACACCTCCAGGCAGACAATGCTGGCTGTGTCTGGGCCCTCCAGGGAACAGGCCACGTCTGTGTCACAGCCAGGAAGCAGGCCACCTGAGCAGCGCCTTTGTCGGCTCAGGAGGCAGCCCCGCTGCCGGCTGGGATGGCCGGGTATCCAGAGGCCGGGACGTGGGAAGGGGTGTTGCCCTGGGCGGGGACTCCGGGGTCTGGGACTCGGCCCCCCAGCATCTGGTTTTGGCCTGGTTTAGGTGTCAGCCCTACCACGCTGGGGCTGTGACTCGGGCAGCCCTTCCCTCTCGGACTCCCCGTCCGTGCAGGGACTAACCGCAGCACTTCCTCATAGGGCTGTTGGGACGAGTCGATGGTGTAATGTACGTAACGCGGTTGGCACGGGGTCTGGTGTGGAGCAGGGCTTGGGGAATGCTTCTCTCCCAGCATGGTGTCCTCGGCTGAGTCTCCTGTAACAGGCTACTGTCCTTAGTCCCTGCTCTGAACGTGGAAGGAGGATCCTAGGGTCTCTGGAGCTGGCATGGAACTAGCACATTGACTGCAAAGGGCCCAGGCCCCCCCATCTCGGACTCCAGGGGCTCTGGGCTAATGCCCAGCGAGGCCTCCCCTGACAGCAGCCGACGCCCAGCCCAGCATGTGGCCTCTCCTGTCCTTCAACCCCTGTAGGGCTGCCCTTGGAGTCCAAGCCTCTACTCAGGAAAGAGGCCTAGGGAGTCTTGGGAGGGACCCCAGGTCTGAGCCTCCCTAGCCACTTGGCAAGAGGCCAGGGATGGATCTCTGAAGGCGTGGTCACTTCCTCGTGGGTCTGGGTTCAGAGACACCCCTGGGCAGGGAGGTTTCTGCTTCTAGCCTGCGTCCTGAGTTCCTGGTGCATCCCGAAATGAGCGTGCATGTTTGCGTGGAAGAGTGCGGGCATGCCTGTGTGCGGCATGTGGGTGAGGCGGGGGTGGGGGCGGGCCGGGGCTGCATGTCCTGCATTGTGGGTGGGCCTCCTGAGCATGTTCACTGAGCCATGTGCAGCATGCCTCGGAATGGCAGGGACCTGGTACTTTTTCATGTTCATGTGTGTCCATGTGTCTTTCTACACGTGTGCTGGTGTATTGGTCTGTCTTGTCTCCCCTGTAGACGGGAAGCCCCAAGCCACACGCCAGCGGGCACTCTGGGAAGGTGACGTCGAGACTAGCCCAGCCTAATTTGGGGTTCCTGGTCCTGCTCCAGGAGTCCTTCAGTCTGCAGCCCCCGCCAAGGAGGGAGGATTGACCAACTTGAGGGTGGGGTCCGAAACTCAGGGATCCAGGGGCCTGGCTCATAGCATAGAGGACTCAGTGCTGTGCTGTGCTGTGCTGAGCCGACGGTCAGGAGACCCTGTCCCAATGCCCGTGTGACCTTGGGCAAGGCCTTGTCTCTCTCTGGGGCACACCCACTCATCTGGAGGACACGGGGTTGGACTGATGATTTCTGGCCACCCTGAGGCACTGACGATTGTGATTTTAAGTCGGGCGGTGGGAGTCTGCTAAATTCATTGGTGGAGGCAGCTGTGGCCAGAGCTAGCCCCTCGCTCGGTCCCGGGTGTCCTGCTGAAGGGCAAGAGAAGAAGCCATGCCGGGCAGCAGCCCCAGCGAGAGGATGACGTGGCCAGGCCCGGCCCTCCCCACGGCACCCCCAACCCGCCCTCTCTCCTCAGCCCCGGGGACACCGCCCATCCCGCCCCTCACCCGGACCCACAGCCTCATGGCCATGTCCCTGCCAGGCAGTAGACGGGCCTCTGCTGGATCCCGCAGGTGAGTCTCCCCCTTACCCGGAGCCTTGGCCTCTGAAGGTGGGAGGAGGGAGGGTCTCTGTCTCCACTCTGCCACTAACTTGTCTTTGAGCAAGTCATCACCCCAGTTTTCCCATCTTTAAAATGGGCTTGTTAACACTCATCTCAGGAACTACTTAAGGTCTCAAATGACACAGTGGACATAAAAGTTCTCTGAAGACATAAGCCGTTGGATCCCTGTCAATTTTTGATCTTCGCAGTTACTCGAGGGATGTCCTGCCGCCTCCCCCGCAAGCTCACTTGGCCTCCCCGTGTGCCCCTCCTCCTGTCCCGACTCCTGCCTGCCCCATTCTTCTCCACCTCTGTCTCAGTCGGTGCAGTGACCTCCCCCTCTAGGCTTGGGGGACCCTAGAAGTTGAGGGGGACCCTTAATAAGGGTAGAGGGACCCCACCCTTGGCCCACAGCCCTGCTCAGCCTCCCTTCTTATCCTGGGGAGCCAGGAGGACTGGCCTCCTTCTGGTTTTCCATCTTGATTTGCACTGTCTGTTCTGTCACCCTTGTCTGTGCGTCCCCCCTTCTGCTTCTCTCCCCGGCGGTGACCCCGAAGTGGGGGCCCTTTGGGCCGCAGCGGCCTGGCGGTGTTCGCCCAGTGTCCGCAGCTGCCCCCCAGCCAGAACGAGCACCTGCCTCTTCTTCCTGCCTCCAGGCGCACCTCTCCACCTGTGAGCGTGCGGGATGCCTACGGCACCTCCTCCCTCAGCAGCAGCAGCAACTCAGGCTCCTGCAAGGGCAGTGACAGCAGCCCCACGCCCAGGTAACCAGCCCTGCCTCCCGCCCGCCAGGCCCAGCTGGCTGGGAACCCAGGTGCCCAGGGGTGGGTGGGGGGTGTGTGTTCAAACAGCCCCCCTACTCTAGCACACTCCCTGGCTGTGTGACCTTGAGCAGGTCCCTTCTCTCCAAGCCTCGGTTCTTGTCTGTGAGATGCATATGATAACACCCAGCTGCACATAACTGAAGACAAGGGCTGAGACGAAGTAGGGGTGATGCTTTCAGAACAAGGGTCCAGAAGCAGGCAGCTCTCTGAAGCGTGGGGGCCCTGTCTCCACCATCCTTGGTGTATAGCTTTTTTCCTCGTCATTACGAGATGGCTACTTCTGCAGGCATCAGGTCGGCATCCAGGAAAGAAGGTAGAAGGGCCAAAGCCCCCAAGCTTCCCAGAGGCCCATGTTTTCTGAGACAGAACACCTTCCCCAGGACATTCTGTCTATGCTGTCCTGGCTGGAGTTGGGTGTGACTGACTGGCTGCAGGGGGAGTTAGTGGTTCCTGGTGCAGCGCTGTCCCCAGACAGGGTAGGTGAGCGTTCTTTTGGGGGAAAAGGCAAGAATGGATTCTGGAAGGCAGCTCACAGCTCTGCCTGCCTGCTCTTCCAGGTAAGACACTGCGAGGGTGGCAGAGGTGGAGTCGGATTGGAAAGCGAGGTGTGCTCCAAATGCGGCACAGGCTGAGTTGTGCTCTCAGCCAAGGAGGGAAGACAGGATCGGGGTGGGGAGGCAGGTCGAGGGGGCTGTGGGTCCTCGAAGACCAGGAAGTGAGAGCTGTGATGGTGGCGCCCCATCCTGTTTCCTGTGGGGGTGGAGCACTGGCTTAGGGTGCAGTCTGGGACTTGTTCACCTCTCAGCTCTGAGTCTCCCTTTCCTTATCTGTAAAGTGGAGATAATAACCTGGAGGCTTCAGTGAGTTGATATCTGCACCTGCCCCACACTGCAGGTGGCCCTGAACTGATAACTGCTGCCACTAGGACTTTGGTTCAACTTGAGAGTCGTAGGCAAGAGGAGGCCAGGAGACTCTGGTCTGCAGCTCCCACGGCCAGAGTACCTCCTGGGAAGGCTGTCTTGCTGCTTCCAGCAGAATGAGTGTATTTTGTGTGAAGGGATGTCCATACCGCCCTGAGGCAGCAGTTCTGAGTTTTCCCACCGTGACACACATGATGGGTGACACACGTGTGCAGACCCCAGGCCCCAGCATCCTGTCTGTAACCCCACCCCAGAATGCGGGGCGGGGGGCATGAGTGAGCCTTACATTTTGAAAAGTATATAATTGGCAACTTTAATATTTTCTTATTAGTAGCAGGTTTTTGCCACACACACCATGTTGCAAAAATGCCCATAGGGACAGTCCCAACCCTGCGGCTGACAGCTGCTTCCATGGAAGGGTCTTCTTGCCACCATCAGAGTTGCTGCTACTGGCTGAGCTGCGGGGTCACGACTCTGGCCTCGCTGCAAATAGCCAGGCGTTCCAAGGTGTGAATAGCTGAGATACGAATTATAGTATGTTTTTCTTCTCGGTTACATATATGTGAATACATACTATATTAAAAATATTTTTTCCCACAAAGATAGAACTAGTGACTAAAAACACAGTTACTTCCTCTCTAATCATCAACTCTTACTAGTTTAAGTAACCCTGTTTCCTCCATGCCCAGCATGGGGAAAGGCACCAGGATGTCCACAGGACTTGCATGTGGGGCTCAGGGCCCCTGCTGGCTTCTCTTTTGGAAGATTTCTTAGAGCACACCAGAGGGGGACCCCCATTCCAGCCTGACACCACCCCTCTGCCCTTTGCCACCCAGAAAACAGGCCAGTGTGTGACTTGACTTGAGCTAAACTTGGGGGCCAGGAGCTGAGTGAGCAGGAGAGAGTCGTTTCTCTTTGTCTCCACTCCTATCCACACTTTCTCTCCAATAGTTTATAATTTACAAATACAGTAAACATTCCACAAAACTTTTAAAACTGCCTCCAACTTGGCTGCTTCAGCGAATGGGCCCCACCAGGGCCTGTCGTTTTGAGGCCCATAAATAGTCATTGTCCTTCCCTAGACCTGGGAGCCCCTGTCCCCTACAGGGATGGAGTTGCATGGCAGCTAGCCCTCTGCTAATGTGTGTGAGAGCACGCTGGGTGGTTTTTGGGGTTTTTTTTTTTTGAAGTGCAGTTGATTTACAGTGTTAGTTTCAGATGTACAGCAAGGTGATTCAGTTATACATATGCATACATATATATTTTTTTTCAGATTCTTTTCAATTATATGTTATTACAAGAAATTGAATATAGTTCCCTGTGCTTGTTGTTTATCTATTTTATATATAGTAATGCGTGTCTGTTATTCCCCAACCCCTAGTTTATCCCTCCCCGCCCTTTCCCCTTTGGTAACCGTAGTTAGGACACACCCACATTTTTAAGCCAAGATCCAACGAGGTTTCCTCACAAACAGAACAATCAGCAGGAAGCTATGGGTTGGGGCACTGAGCCGTGGTCTGCTGGTGGGACTGGGGCGCCCCCCTCCCTGGGTGAAAGCCTTGGCCCTCCCACCTCCCCCGTCCTGGGGGGACCAGCCCGAGCTCACCGCACACCCACCTCTGCACCACCCCGTGCCGGGGAGCGCGGCTGCCCGGAGCAGTGCCTGCTGCCACCTCCGAGTCCAGCTGCTAACAGGTCAATGCCCAGAGCCGGCAGGTGTTCACATGTGTGTGCATCTGTGCCCCCAGAGCGTGTGTGGACGCGTGCAGATGGAAGGGGCCTGCCTGCATTTGTGTGAACGCGTTCATGAGCTGGTGTCCTAGTACAGCTGACGTTGGCACAGTAAGGGGGTTAGGGACACTGACCCTTTGTGCAGTTGAAAATCCACATATAATTTTTGATTCCCCCAGAACTTAACTGCTAATAGCCTGCTGTTGACCAGAAGCCTTCCAACCTAAACAGTTGATTAACACGTACATGGTATGTTGTATGTGTAATAAATTGTATTCTTACAATAATAGAGGCTAGAGAAAAGAAAATGTTAAGGAAATCATAAGGAAGAGAAAAGGCATTTACAGAACGGTACTGAATTTATTGATACTGTAAGTTTAGGCTGTTTGTTTCCAAGATGAATCGTCTGTCAGTACCCACATCAGCATCGTCTTACATGATACGAAACACTGTAGGTGTTATACGAATTACTAAGACAAGATATGGAAAGTGAAAAGATAATGTGAAAGGAAATTCATGTTTATTTACAGGTACATGCACTGATACAATGCATGCATTGATAACAAAGGAGCCACACTATGATTGCTTTTTTGTGATCAACCCGATTGCATCACAGTAACCAAGCCTATCTAATGAGTGAATCATTATAAAATTTTTATGGCATATAGTGTTACAGCCATACTCATAATATGGTATTGGAAACATTGTTACATTTTTCTAAAAACCACTTACCTGTGATGATGGGCCGATATGCAGTGTCTCCAATTATGAGAGAAAGGCTTACTATGCGGTGATAGATTCTTTAAAAGCAAAGTGATAGAACAGTAAGAAAACTAACACATTATTGATTTTCTATGAACTATCACTCACCTTATGCCAGTGCAAGGATAGGCTGTCCACGTCCACACCAGTCTTGCACACGGTGTTCTGCACCATGAAAGCTTAGGTGATGATGAGGACGACACAAAAAATGCCTCATACAGTTCTTGCTGTACCGTTGTTAGATTTTCACATGAAGTCACTCACAGGTAAGTCCTCGCCCACCAAGCAGGCCCTAGGATAGGCACACGGAGGGGGAGGCCTCTCCCTCTCCAGTCTCTGGCCCCCAAAATCGTCCTCTGGATTGGGAGGCTGGACACCTGAGCTCTGGGCAGCACCCCGGGACTGGGTTGACGGAGATGCTGTTGATGGCATGCCCCGGGGGCGCCAGGCTTATGTGCGTGCTCTGTGACGTGTCTCCCCACTCCGAGCGAGAGGAGCCCTGAGCTCCCCACCCCGACACTGTGCTCATCATTCAGAAGGGCCTTAATAAAACCTGCTTTCCAGAGGGCTGGGCCTTCTTGTGCCCACAGGGGCCTTGTGGGGGAGGCCTGGCCTGCAGCCCTCTGATGGCCCTGGGACCAGGAGGGTGAGGCCGGGGTCCCCCTGTTCCCTGGAGCCACAGCACCTGTGCCCCTTGTGGCTGACGAGCGTCCCCTTGCAGGCGCTCCATGAAGTACACACTGTGCAGTGACAACCACGGCATCAAGCCGCCCACCCCGGAGCAGTACCTGACGCCCCTGCAGCAGAAGGAGGTGTGCATCCGGCACCTGAAGGCCCGGCTGAAGGACACGCAGGACCGGCTCCAGGACCGGTGAGCGGGCGGCCGGGGCCCCGCGACATCTCTGGGAGGACGGAGTAGCTGGGGGCTCCCTTCCCAGCAAAACCCCACCTGCCCCTGCCCCCTCCTCAGCCGCTCCTTGCCCACTCCTTGGGGCCAGGCCAGGAGCAGTGTGCCCTGGGAGGGCCTGTCCGGCCTCCCTCCGGGAGTGGTGCTCTGCGGGTTGCAGCCTGGCGGCCCCTTTTTGCCACTTCTCCTCCCCTGGCTCCTTCCTACCTGGTGAGTAGGAGCACAGGTGCACTCCCTGGCTCTCCCGTCTCTCTCTGCGGGAGAAAAACAACCCGTTAGCCCTCTTTTGCCTCCTCCAGAGAGTCACCAGGGCCTGTGGCCCAGCAGTCCCGGCCCCAGAAGCTTCCCTCCTCATCCACTTACAGATGATGTCTGAGCTCCCACCCAGCCCGGGGTCTCCCAGGGACCCCCGTGGGCCTGTCTGAACTCATTCTCCGGACCCTGGGTCAGTCCTGACCCTCCCGCCTCTGCCTTTCCCGGCCGGCAGCTTCATCTTTATGGTTGAGCTCTTTATCGCCTCAGCGTCTTTTCTAGACAATTAGTGGATTCAAATATGCAGCCGATTTTGAGCTGGACAAGGTGCCGGGCGGAGCACTGGAGGTCAGGCCACCACAACCATGCCTTCTTTTTTCTTTTTCAAATGTAACTGCTTTCTTGAGATAGAATTCACATACCATACAATTCATCTGTCTAAAGTGAACAATTCAGGGATTTTCTGTGTATTCACAGAATGGTGCCAGCATCAACAGTGTCTAATCCCAGAACATTTGCATCACCCCAAAAAGAAACACTGTTCCCAGTAGCAGTCACACTCCAGTTCCCCCCAGCCACCCCAGCCCCTGGTAACCACTAACCCTGTCTCTGTGGACTTGTCTATTCCGGACATTCTGTGTAAATGGGAGCACACAGTATGCATGACCATGTCTTTCTTGACCAGAGCTCCACCACCAGCCCATCTAGTTTGGGTTTGCTGTCGTTTTGAACTTTGGGAGGCTACAGGTGGCATTCTGTGGGCCTCCTTGTCTGCAGAGCTAGGATTCCTATTATTATTTCCCATCATCTGCTCAGTGATGCCCTGGGTCTGCTTGGCCACCTGCACTGATGTCCTCAGGAAGCACACAGCCCACCTCCCTGCTTCCTCCTAGGGCTGCGGTGCGGCTCAGAGCAGACCATCTGCCTGTCAGTTTGGGCAGGGCGCCCGCCCCTCAGCTCCCGGCCTTTCTGCCTGGCACCCGTGCAGTACTGGTGGCGGTCCTTTACTGGCTGTGCTGTCACACTCCACACACGCTCTGAACATCCAGCCTGAAACCTCTCATTCCATGGTAGCCTACCTTCTGCTCAAAGATGCTTTGACACTCTGTGCTTTCATATGCTGGGTCCCCACTTCCGAGATGCCCGTTCCTCACCTTTCTTCCTTGGCAAACGCATCCATCCTTCAGGACCCTGTTCAAGTGTAACACCCTGCAGCCCACTGAGACCTGGACAGGGCTGGGAAGCCATAGCTCAGGCGTCTGAGCTGAGCGTACCCAGTGCCTTCTCCAAACTCACTCTTCCCCCCTAGGGCTCAGCACCAGTGAGGAGGGCTGCCATAGGATGAGCACCCCCACTCTGAAGCAGGAGGCATGAGCAAGTGTCCCCACACTTGCCTGTTTGTCTGTTGGTGGGGCTCTGAGCAGCTCCGGGTCCCCGCTGCCATCCCACTGCCGTCACTGACTTGTGTTCTGTTGGGCAGCCTGTCCCCTGCCTCCCCTTCCAGGTGATGCTCTTGTGGACCTTGTGGCCACTGCAGCCCTCCAGTCCCAGTCCCTGCGGTGCTTTATGGAGTGAGATTCCTGGTCCCATTTCCTGAACTGCACAGTGCCTGGTACTTGATCTGGGATGGTCACTCTGCTGGAGTCATAAACCCCAAAGTGGTGGTCAGGGCATTTTGGATTTTATTTACGTCAACGTAGGGTTTGGGCTGCGTGTGGGCCGTTTTGCTGGAGGAGGAACGTCCAGGGCTGGAGTTCAGGCTCAAGAACTATTTTCCTCCTTTCTCACTGCTTTTAGTCTGTTCTGTTCAGTCTCACCCTGGCTTTACCTCTGGACTTGACAGCAGCTTTTTCTACCTCACCTCCCTCTCCTGCACACCCTGGATGCATCTATGACTCAAGGATTTTAAAAGCCTGAGAGTTTCTAGACACGTCTTCTGACTGTCTGTCTGCCTGCTCTCGCCTCTTCTTGCAGGAGTAGCTCTATGCTTTTTTTGGCGATTTTATTGGCCTTTCTTCTCTGCAGTAGATACAAAAATGAAACGTCCAGCAAAGGTGAAAGACAGCCACCCTGTTCTCATCACTCTCCTCCCATTCAGCCACCACTTCTCGGCCCTCCACTTGAGGGAAGATGTAAAATTACCGGCTACCTTGGAGGCAGTCATTTCTCTCATAAAAACTAAGTGGCTCCTCACTCTCTCCCCGGGGTCTCTGGCCAAACAGCCCTCCACTGAAAATGCCCACCACTGGCGGGCCACATGCCCTTCTGCAGAGCAGAGATTTAAGGTTTCGTTTCTGTCATTTTATGTGAAGATTTTTAAATGGATGTATTAAGTTTTCATAGCAGTGGCATTCTTAAACTGAGAGTCTTTATTGTCTACTCTCTTCTGGGTGACAGATTTAAATGTGGATAGTCCTCTGCATTTCAGCTCTAGGGGATCAGAACTCGGCGGTGGCTCCTTCTTGTCCCCGAGGAGGGCCCATCCTGGCCCCGTGGTCCCTCTCCCGCCCACACTGCTTCCCTGGGGAATAGAGAGAACGAGGAAAGAGGCATCAAATCGCTCCTTTGTTTTTTCGCTCTGAGTGGCAGCAGCCAGGCCCTCTGTCCTTGGTGACAGCCCCCTCCTTGCCTGGCCTTGGTGGCAGTGACAGGCCAGGCAGAGAGCATGTGTGTCTCATCCGATCACAGGGACACGGAGATTGACGACCTGAAGACGCAGCTGTCGCGCATGCAGGAGGACTGGATCGAGGAGGAGTGCCACCGTGTGGAGGCCCAGCTGGCCTTGAAGGAGGCCCGCAAGGAGATCAAGCAGCTCAAGCAGGTCATTGACACTGTCAAAAACAACCTGATCGACAAGGACAAGGGGCTGCAGAAGTACTTTGTGGACATCAACATCCAGAATAAGAAGCTGGAGACGCTGCTGCACAGCATGGAGGTGGCGCAGAATGGCCTGGCCAAGGAGGACGGGGCTGCCGAGTCGGCCGGCGGCTCCCCGGCCCGCTCCCTCACCCGCAGCTCCACCTACACCAAGCTCAGCGACCCTGCCGTTTGTGGTGACCGCCCACCCGGCGCCTCCGCCGAGGACGGGATTGACAGTGGCTTCGTGGCGACCGAGGACACACTAAGCCGGACGGATGCGCTGGAGGCCAGCAGCCTGCTGTCGTCAGGGGTGGACTGCGGCCCCGAGGAGCCCTCCTCGCTGCACAGCTCCTTCAGCCTGGGCCCCCGCTTCCCCGCCAGCAACACCTACGAGAAGCTGCTGTGCGGCACGGAGGCCGGCGTGCAGGCCAGCTGCATGCAGGAGCGCGCCATCCAGACGGACTTTGTGCAGTACCAGCCGGACCTGGACAACATCCTGGAGAAAGTGACCAAGGCCCAGGTCTGCGGGGCCGTCCCCGAGTCAGGGGACGGGCGCCCGGAGCCGGATCCCCACCCCCCGGGGCCCAGAGACCCCAACTCTGTGGTGGTGGTGACGGTGGGTGACGAGCTCGAGGCCCCGGAGCCCATCACTCAGGGGCCCAGCCCACACCACCCCGGTGCGAACCCAAACCCCAGTCTGTCGGTGAGCGTGGCGTGCCCTGTGGAAGAGGAGGAGGAGGCGGCCGCGGCCGAGAAGGAGCCCAAGAGCTACTGGAGCCGCCACTACATCGTGGATCTGCTGGCAGTGGTGGTGCCGGCCGTGCCCACGGTGGCCTGGCTCTGCCGCTCCCAGCGGCGCCAGGGCCAGCCCATCTACAACATCAGCTCCCTGCTGCGGGGCTGCTGCACCGTGGCCTTGCACTCCATCCGCAGGATCAGCTGCCGCTCGCTGAGCCAGCAGGGCCCGAGCGTGCGCACGGCGGGCGGCAGCTCCCAGCTCTGAGAAGCCCCGTCCCGGCCGGGGCTCCAGCGGCCTGACTACTGATTGTAGGGGTGCCATCCTCCCTCTCGTATGTTCCCGTGGGGCATCATCTTATTTATTTAGTTTTGGGTTTGGAAGTGGTATTTTTTGGCTGTTAACAGTGTCAGAGGCTGGGAGTCGGGGCTGGGGAAAGGCATCCCAAAGCTTCAACAGGAGAGAAGGGAGGAGAGAGCAAGGCAAGAGAGGCACGCTGATGGGACACGTTGCAGAGAGAGAGGGTGAGGTCCCCAACCTGGCCCCCCGGCCCACCTGGTCCCTCGCACAGGGCAGCCCCTGCTCAGGAAGTCTCTGGTGTGTTTATCCGGGGAGGCCGGGCTTCACTTGTCCTCTGAGCCTCCCTGTCCCCCACCCCCGCCATCCCTGTCCAGTTCCCAGCTCACCCCACACCTTCCCTCCCAAGCCACCCCTTGCCCTCAGCCAAGGCTTCCGGGCCAGTATTCCCTCCTCAGATGGGGGTCGCTGCAACCCTTCAGGCAGGGTCTGCAGCCACTGGGCCTGGGCTGCGCTCCAGCCTCTTCCAGCTGCTCCCGGTTTGGGATTCAGGAGCACAGTCAAGGCCATGGGCTGGAGGACAGGTAGCAATGGGAAGAGGTGGCAGAGAGCAGCGTGGTTCTGTGTCTGTCTGTTCATCCCAGACCTTCCCCACATCTGTCTTCCCCTCAGTGCTCCTGGGCGTGGTGTGTCAGAGAATTCTCCTGTGAGGCCAGGTGGGTCAGTGCCGGGGTGCAAATGCTCGCCTGAGCTCCAGGTCCGTCTGGAGACTCTGCCAGCATGAGAGGAGGAGACAGGGGCTGGCAGCTCAAAGGGGCTCCTCCAGACTCTGAGTCGAGGCCCTGGAGCCTGGGGATGGGGCTGGACTTAGCCATTCCCCTACTGGTTTGACCTTCCCTGGAGCTTGCCTGAGTCTCTCTGGGGACCTTAGGACCAACTTCTGCTTTGCACTGTGGGGCTTGGTTCTCACATATCCCAGGATCTCCAGTGAGGTGGCTGCTTGCTTTCTAGGGTGAAGGTTCCTAAATCTTATACCTGTCAACCTCTAAGGGGCAGTTCTGGTGGGATGAACGGCAAGATGGGGTACTGAAGCCACGACGTCCGTGCAGGACATGTAGGCTGCCCTGGGCGGTCTCCCAGATCCGGGTGGAGTGAGGCTCCCAGCCCAAGCCCAGTGGGCCTGGGAAGGTTCAGTCCCCCTCCTTCCCCGGGACCACATCTTGGTCTCCTAGCAAAGCTGCTGACATTTTATTAGCATTATTATTTTACGGAATAAACCCACTCCTTTTCTCCTGCAGGATTTCTACCCATCTGGTCGCCCCACTCATTCTCCAGAGTCAGGCCCCACATTTGGCGGTGGGGGCAGTTGGTGGGACCCTGTGTCTTACTCACCCCTCTGGCCTAGGGGCCACTCTGGTTCTGCCAAGGTTGCTTGCCCACCCCTGCTGCTCTGACAGCCGCTGCCTGACTCGTGGGCTCCGCCCTTCTTCTCTGTGCCCTCCGCGCCAGGGGGGACGCCTGCATGCACTGGGAGTGGGCAGCTGGCCCAGCCATCGTGGGGAGAGCCCCTCTGCCACGCGCTTTGTGCCTCCAGAGCTCCCCCTCCTCGCTCCAGGCCTCAGACTGCCAGCCTCTGTGGAGCACCTCCCGCCCCAGCTGAACCAAACCTGAACTCTGGGGGCCGGGCTGGGCTGCCCCACAGGACCCTGGGGTCGCGACATGGAGGGGCAGTGGACAGACCCAATCCAAAGCCAAGCCAGGACTGGCCTCGGACCCCGCCTCCTGTGCCGTGTACCCACAGAGCTGCATAGTGTCTCCTTAGAGATAGTCAAGGCTTTGCTGAGAAAATGTACGACTATATTTGACAACATAAAATCTATATATTTTTCACCAATGGAATCTAGTCAAGCCACGTAGCCCCTCTACTCCTGTCTGCGTCTTGCTGTCTGTGGCCTTCCTACTGTGTCTTGTGTTCTGGTGGACGTGGTCAGGCCCAGGGCTGTGGTCTGCTCTGTCTCTGATGCTGGAGGAGCCACTTGTGAAGAGCATGGACCCCGAGGCCTGTGGATGAGGTGAGTGGGGCCGGGGCCACCCTCTGCTGCTGCTCTGGCCCCCGAGACCTGCCTGTTTGATCATAGGGGCCCCAGGCCACAGCACAGGGGGTCCTCTCTTTTGGAGGCTTTGGTGGGGCTTTCCATGGGCTTTGCCTCTTGTCAGTGGAGGAGGCGGCCGCTGTCCCAGGCCTGGGACAGACGCTGGGCCCCCGGCCCGCGCGTGTGTGCGTGTGTGTGCTCAGAATCCCGCATCTATGCAAAAGGGGCGGCGCCTCCCAGCCCTGACCGCAGGGCTCCAAACGCGGGGCTGGAGGGCGAGGCCGGGGCCCCCTGCTGAGAGCTCACCCTCCAAGGCTCCCTCTTCCTTCCTGCTTGATACCCCCTCCTGTGGGCTGTGACCTTTCCTCCTGCCCTCCGCTTCTGGAGCAGAAATCTCTGGGGCCTCCCCTCTCCCCAGCCTCTGGCTGGAGCTGATTAGATCCTGAGGGACAATGTTCCCAGGAATCAGCTTCTGGAACTGCTGGTCCTTTGGAGCCTCGCTGCCAGAAGTGGCTTCTCCTAAGTTGCGGGGCCCAGGCTGGAGCTACCTGACTGCTCCTCTGGTCCAGGCTCAAGCAGGAATCAGAGCTGGGGGCCGGGACTCTGCCCAGAGAGCTAGCCTCAAGTGGAGTTTATTCCAAATATCTCCCAACGGGATAACTTAGCTTTTTACTGAACACCCTTCCCAGTCGCCACTAGCACAGGGGTATCTGGCAGCGCCTCGGGGAGGGGTGCACAAATGACAAGGTCCTGGGGCCAAGGCCCGAGGAGGGGCCTCTGCCCGGTGAATTCATGACCCCCTCTCTGACCTAGGGGTCAGCGCAAACAACTTACAGTGTGCAATCATATTCGGCCATGCCCTTAACAGAGAATTAAGGGGATACAGGAAGGTGGGAGGTGGGGAGGGGTCTTCACTTTTGTCTCCTTGGTCCTTTTGTTCAGACAGAGTTGTACCTGCAGCTGACAGCTCTGAATTAAAGCATGAAAACACAACAAGACCTTTGGCCTGCTTGCTTTATATTGTGTCTTTTTTGGGGAATGGGGGCATGACGGAGGCTCAAACTGTCCACACTTGCATGAGAGTCATAACAGGCACACGAGCAAAAGCCGAGCAGGCAGAGATCTCTTCTGAGGTTGAGGGTTCAGCTCTGCCGTGCCTCTGACTCTCTTCTTGGGGGTCACTTGCCCCCCACCAAGTGTCAGACTCGCTAGATTCTGTAAGTGCATCATATTCCACCCTCTCCAGCCCCCCTGACGTGTTCTCACACCCATCTTGCAGGTGCGGAAGCTGCCACCGTCGCTGAGCAGGGGTGCTCTAAAGCCAGTGCTCCCTTCCCGAGTCCCACCACGTCCCCACTCTAGTCACCCCTGCTTCAGACTGGCAGGGGCTGTGTGACGGCGGCAAAGTCAAATCAGTGCTCTCAGAGGCAACGCGTAGAACGGCCTTGGTCTCACCACCGCTTGAAAGAAAACCAGCTCTCGCATATTTTGGGACCGAGGATTCTGGAATTTCAATTACTTCTGAGAAAGGGATTTCATTTAAAATCAAATCTCTATTCAAAAGACAGTGAAGGGTTATGACTATATACAGTTTGTGACAAAGAGCAAGTAAAGGAAGACCAATTCTCACAAAGAATGTGTTTGTTCTCTCAAAACGTGGAACTGTTTTTTCTGGTAGAGGCAAAATCTTGAAAGAGACCCAGATGCAACTTTCGGAAAGTGGCCGGCCTGCCTACACGCCCAGCATTTAAACCGGCACAGAGACTCGCTGCCAGTGGGCCCCCCGCCTTAGTCCCCTTAGCCCAAGGAGGCCAGTGTGTATGAACGACAGACCCACCTGGAACACACCCGCCTCGAGACAGCCCCGCCCCCAGCGGGCAGGCCTCCGCAAGCAGCCTGTCACCCAAGGACTCTCCCTTCCCTGCAGGAGGCGAGGAGGGCGGAGCTGCCCTCCTGCCGCTTCAGACTTCCGGGATGGAGTGGTCCATGGTGTGGTGGAGCAGCGTCGGGGACAACCTGGATACAGCAACAATGCCCGTCGCCAAAACTGGCAGCTCCTCCTCCCCGGCCCTGGGCCCCCGCCCGTGCAGCCCTGTGGGCCCTCACTTCCATTCCTAAGACTTTCAGATCATCAGACGCCACTGACCACCTCGAAGGGAGGCGAAGGGAGGAACGCGGAGGGCACAAGCCTCAAGGAAGCCAGGTGGCTGGGAGGCGGGGCGATGAGGGGAAGGCGGGAGGGGAGCAGGCTTACTTTTTGACCATGTGCTCGTAGATCACTGTGGGGATGATGGTCAGGGTGATGACATTCCCAGCTGTGGCCAGAATCTCCGTAACTTTTTTGTCCTGGAGAAGAATGAGTGAGCGGTCACCCTGGGGGCCAGGGGCAACTCTGCGGGCACTCTCTGTGGCCCCTGCTGGAAGACGGCAGGGACGGAGCTGCCTCCCAGGTGAGGGTGGCAGGCCCCCACGTGAGGCCCTGCTTGGGCCAGAACATGGGCCTCCCACCCGAGGATCTCTCGGTAAAGTCAGCACGCCATTCGCACCCTCACCTTGATAGGGCCTCACAAACGTGACTGTCCTCCCCTTCCCCTAGAGAGCCCGGGAATCTCACCAAGCACACATCTTCCAAGCCATCTCCCAGGCTCAGCCACACCCACGCTGGGCTCCTGGCAGCCAGCCAGCCTGAGCCAAGCCCACGGAGTACCCGTTCCTCTTACATCTTGTTGACCAGTTAAAAGAGAGGCCTGCCTGCAGGCGCCATTCAGATCACAGGCAGAACAACAAATGAAGTCTTTGCACAGCATGTGCCAAACAGTCCAAAGACTGATGCTATGGCCATTGCGGGTCTCTGACTGGGTTATGCATTTTCTTAGTTCCAGGATAAATGGGAGAAGATGTGATCCACAGGACTAGTGATGGCCACAGGGTGGAAACAGAGAGATGTTTGAAAAGATAAAAATGACCTCAAGAAGGGTACTCTCTGGGGCCACTCAACAAAGGGGCAGACTCATTCCCAAGAGCCTTACACCACCATGGTTTGGCAGGATAATTGATAAGTTCGCAGTGATGCCTTGAGTCACCACTGAGGATGAGAGAATCTGCAGCACCTTTTAGAATGAATGCTCTTCAGAAATCTTAAGAGGAAAGAACTGTCCTGCTTTGAAAGGAGTGAATTTACTAACATCTGATGGAGCCAGTTACTCAGAATCGGCATTACTGCACTCAGCTTCCTAGTATAATGTGTTACCTTCAGTTATCACGCCTGGTCCCAGAGGAAGGGGAGGCTGCAGCAGGAGGGATCTTAGGCAGACATTAGGAAGAACTTCCTGATCACAATGCTCATGAGCCACTAGAACAAGCCTCCAGGGAAGGTGGGGAGACCGTCCAGCACAGGGAAGCAGATACACATGAATGGCCTGCTGATGACTCTTGTGAGGGGAGGAGAACTGGCTTAAAAGACTGCCATCTGTCAAGTGAGATGCCACTGCCCACGCCACCTCCACCAGGGAGCCCTGCCTTGTGAGCCCTGAAGCCCTGGCTGCAGGAAGGGAAGGACCCCAACTCGAAATCACAACTGGGATTAAGAACCACTCTTGGTCCCGGTGGCATCAAGTCAGGATAAATCACTCTCACTTATCCAGGGACCCAAAGCCACGTGACTCATCCTCCTCCATGGACTGAAGGCACCTACCCCTCAGTCTATGTCACAGCACTGGCCTGGACCACTTGCTCCTTCTTGTGTTTAAGGATAAAGCCTACCACACACACCTCCTCGGTGTAGGGGGACAGGGAAGAAATACAGTCCTGAATAGTAGTTTTCTGAAATATCCCCATCACTGAATGTGATCCAAGATGCAAACAGAGGTGCCACACATAGTAGGGAGGTGTCCACACAGCCAGAAGCCCCCCGGGACCCCTGGTCCTCACAAACGCCATCACACACCCCTGTCACAGCTCTGGCCTCCGTGTGTAACTAACAACAGCTGACATTTACTGAGCACCGACCTCATGCCTGCACTGTGCGCGCACCTCAATGTACCTAGTTTCACTGAATCCCTGCAGCAGCCTTAGGATGAGAAACTGAGGCTGGGGCGGGGGCAGCAGGCCCCCACAGACTCGAATCTTCCCGCAGCCCGGCAGTCTCCCAGCCCCTGACACCCGGGGACGGAGCCCACCGACGCCTACCTTCAGCCCGATGACGTTCTGCCCGTTCACCTCGCACACGTAGTGGTTGGTGAGGAGCCCGTTGCGGGCCGCAGAGCTCCCTTTGACCAAAGAGACGACCTTCCCCTTCTTGATGACGAAGCCTACGTGGCCAGTGCTGTCCTTGTGCATGGTGACGGTCCGCTGGAATGGCCTGGCAGGGAGGGACAGTGAGCTGGGTCTGGGGTGTGCCCGGGGGCAGACAGAGAGGATCCTGGGACCTGGCTACTCACCTGTCCCGAACGACCATGACGATCTTCTCGGCTGATGCCCTCTTCAACACACTGTGGGCTTTGTCCGTGCTCCAGCCAGCACAGTCCCGCCCGTCAATCTGCAGGATCTGGTCCCCAAAGCGCAGCCCCACCAGGGACGCGGGGGTGTTGGCCTGGACCAGCTGCACAAAGAGCCCCTGGGGGAGGTAGGCCCCACAGTCAGCTCCCCTGGTCCACCCTGAGCCCATGTCCCTCCTCCAAGCTGCTGTTTGCCTCCTGATTCTCCTGGAGCCTACAGGGTATGGAAATACAGTGCTGCACCACAGGTCCAGGCAGAACCTGGTGAGGAAACACTCCAGGCCACGCAGCTAGGAAGCAGCAGAGTCAGGAATTCAACCTGGACTGGAGGCTGCATCCCCAACCACTGGAACACAAGGTCTGTCACCACAGCATCTGGTGCCCCTGGCTTCCACTGTCTGTAGACTGCCGGCCAGAAGCCAGACCCCTGTGACCAGGGGCTAGGGAGGAAGGCAGGCTCTGAGCCGAGCCCACGGAGGGGCAGGTGGAGGGTCCCTGGGGCAAAGAAGCGCCAGCCCTCAGGCCTTGCGGGAGGGGACTGAGAGGAAGGGGCTGGCCTTGGGCGTTAGGTGGGCCTCCGCTCCCAGCCTGCCGGACACCTTCCTTACAGGGTTGGACGGGGCTCCCCAGGCTGCCCACTTCTCGGCCTGGTGATGCGTCCAGGACCCCAGATACCGGCGAGGGAGTGAGTGTGGGAAGCTGCGCTGCGGCCGGGCGCTGCAGCACACGCGCTCGCCCTCTGACAGAACCCTTCTCTCCCGCTGCGCCCCCAGCCCCACCTTGTCGATGGCCCGCAGCCGCAGCCCCGTCTTGCCACGCTCGTCCTTGCACAGGTGGATCTCACGCACCCCGGGCTTGATCTCCGCACGCAGCACGCCCACGCTGTTTCCGGACACTGGCGCCACCACCTGACCCGTCGTCTGCAGACAACAGAGGAGCAGGGGGTCGGCTTGGCCCCTGGGGCCTTGTGCCTCAAGGGTCCCTGGGGCAGAAGAAGGGATGGGGAGAGGAGAATGGAGTGGACCCTGGGCCCCAGCCCACCCCAGACCACATGTGTCTCCACACACACATATGGCTCCATGAAACCACTAGGGGGCGTCAAAGTCCACACCCATAAAAAACAGCCAGGAAATCACGGCGGGACGAGAGGACAGATATAAAGGAAAGGGGCGCTCCTTTTCCAAGGCAAACTGGTATCAGGAGAAGATCCCTTTAAATACACTTAAAAGTAAAGAAAAATTTCACATCACATAGTGAACAATTGGGGTATGGGGGGAACAGGCTCAATTTGATTTTTGCCTTGAAAAACATTAAGCTTAAAGTATCAAAATGAATGAATGCTTTCCCTCCTAAGATTTGGAACAAGGCAAGGATGCCCACTCTCACCACTACTATTAAATATAGTGGAAGAACTAGCCAGAGCAAGTAAGAAATAAAAGGCATATAGATTGGAAAATAAGAAATAAAATGGCCCCTGTTTGTATGGCACCCATCAGAAAATTCCAGGGAATATACAAATAAGTTCCTAGAACTCATAAGTGAGCTCAGCAAGGTCACAGGATACAAGACCAACATACAAAAAAGTCAAACAAAACATATGCAGGGACTGTATGCTGGAAATGACAAAACACTGATAAAATATATCAAAGAACATCTAAATAAATGGACAGATATTCTGTATTCATGGATCAGAAGAACATAGTAAAGCTATCAATTGTCCCCAGATTGATATAAAGATTTAAAGCAATTTCTATCAAAATATCTACAAGATATTTTGTAGATACAGGCAAGGTACCTTTAGAAGTTTATTTAACTTTGTATGAAAAGACAAAGGAAGTAGAAGAGCTAAAACTGTTCTGACAAAAAGAGTAAAGCAGGAGGAGTCACTACCAAATTTCAAGACTTATTATATAGTTATAGTAATCAAGATAGTTTGATACTGGCTGAGGGACAGACATCTGGATCATAGAGCAGAAGAGAAAATCCAGAAAGAGGCTCACACAAGCAGAGGCCACTGCTTTTTTAACTGAGGTGCAAGAGCAATTCAGTGGCGAATGAACAGTCTTTTCAACAAAGGATGTGGGAGCAACCGAACAGCCACAGGCAAAATATGAACTCCGACCTCAGACCGAATACAAAAATTAACTCAAATTCAATCATAATTTTAAGTGCAAAACATAAAACTATAACAATTTTAGAAGGAAGTAAAAGGAAAAATCTCCAGGACCTAGGGCTCAGTGAAGTTTCTTAGGACACCAAAGCATGATCCCTAAAAGAAAAAAAACAACAAATCGGACCTCATCAAAGTTAAAAACTTTTGCTCTCCAAGAAACCATTTTAATTCAAGAAGGGTTTATTTTTGGAAGGGAACAGCTACACACTGAGAGAAGATAATTTACAAACCACATATCTGACAAAGGACTCTGGAATAAAGCTCAAAGGATGACTTAAAAAATCAAAAATCCATTTAGAAAATGAGCAAACAATGAAGAAACATTGTATCAAAAAGAATATTCACTAGTAAATAAGCACATGAAAAGATGTTCATCACTAGCCATTAGGGAAATGCAAACTAAGACTATGATAAGACCTCACTATCATAATAACTAAAATTTAAAAGAGTGATAACACCAAATGTTGCCAAGGATGTGATGAAACCGAAACACTCACGCATTGCTAGCAGGAAAGTAAAAGGGTACAGTCACTCTGGAAATAACATTTGGCAGTTTCTCTTTTTTTTTTAAAGTTAAACATACATTTTAACACTACCTAGCAACTGCACCCCTGAGCATTTATCCCAGAGAAACGAAAACTTACATCTATACAAAAAGCTGGATGCAAACATCCATCATAATTTAGTTTGTAACAGACAAAAACTGGAAGCAATTAAAATGTCCCTCAACAGGTTAAACAAACTAGAGCACATCCACAGCATGGAACACAACCCAGAGATAAAAAAAGAAAGAACTCCTGACACGCGTGACAGCCTGCAAGGCTCTGCAGGCCATGAGGAGGAGTGGAAAGAGCCTACCTGAAGAGGTCACACACTATGATTCCACTTGCACAACCTTCTGAAGTGGCAAAGTTAAATTACAGGGACAAAAGCACGCTAGTGGTTGCCAGGAGTTGAGGGAGGTGAGGTGGGGCTGGGCATGATTATGATGGGGCAGTAAGAGAAATAGACTTTTGTGGTGATGACATAGTTCTGTATCTTGACTGCCCTGGTGGCTGCAGACAGGAGAATGACATAGAACCTTACACACACGTTGTACCGATGAAAAAGACCTGGTTTTGATACTATAGTGTGGTTACATAAAATGGAACTGTTGGGCAAGCTGGGTGAAGAATACAAATTCTCTATCTTCACAACTTCCTATGAACCTATGGTAACTTAAAAATAAAAAGTTAAAACTAAATAAAAAACAATTTTAAAATTTGTAATTATAAAAATACATTTGTCTGTCATATTTTTATCAAAATTTAGGTTGTCTTAATTATTGGATCAAAGAAGGATTAAATCACCGAATTAAAACTGGACTTTATACAACATGACCTACTTTGTTTCATGTGTGTACTTCCCTACACGAAATACCCCAGGGTGTCACCAGTTTCTCTCACGGTCCCACATGCCCTCATCCTTGTCCATTTCTCCGGTGAGACCCTCCTGTGTCGGTGCCGCAGCACACATCGTTGCTTCCAACAACTTCGTGAAATCCTGCCGCCTTAGCAAGATCTGCGTTTGCACTGTGCAGTAGATTTGCACTAGATCAGGGAGAGGCTGGCGGACAAGGACACTGGCAAGTGGCCCGCAGGGATGCTGGAGCTAACTGGGAGAGGGTTTGGGACTGCTTCTTCTAAGTGAATACATTCCCAAGAGTGAATATTTCTACATTATGATTTCTTTTGCTCCCCAAAGACATGGAGGGCAGCAATCAAGCATTACTATTTAATTTGGGGACAGGAGCTGGGTGACAAGCTCCTCCCCCAAGGCCCGGCCCAGCAACGCAGCTTCTGTCAGGTCCCAGGCAGCCCTTCATTGCAAGCGCCCAGGCTCAGACCGGGTTCAATGCCCTCCCTTCTCATCGAAAAGGCCCAGGTCAGCAGGTCAGAGGTCAAAGGGCAGGCAGTAGCCCTCCAGCCCCAAGGCCCCTGGGGAAAACCATGAAATCGCACAGCACTTTTAATGAAGGCTCAAGATGAAACGTGCCATCAAGGAACAGAGCCACAGGAATGCTGGGGAAAGAGGAGATTCCAGTCTGTTTAAACAGCAAGACCAGGGAGGGGCAGTTGGGACATTCTGTGTTCACATTAGGCAAGAGACAAATACCTACACTGGCACCTTCATGAATCTGAGGCAGGTTCTGCTGGACTTCTTGGCTGGAGAGGGAAAGACCCATATAATTTTCCAGTTCAGCCAGGTTTGGGTACAGAACTGATGGGAAGGGAAGGAAAGAAGAAGAAAGGTGTTACGCGGGGCATGAGCTTAGCCGTACCTACCTGGCTCCCACGTGGTCACTCATTTGTATTAAGAAACAGGGCCTGGGACTGTGGTTTACTCCCAAGAATACAGTATCTCCCCGAGAGCACGCTGCATCCCCAGGAACGCTCGCTGGTGATGGGGGTCATCCCCTCTGATGGTCAGTTTTCTCCAGGAGCAGCCAGAACACCAAGTACCTCGTGAACACGTTGGTGTTCAACTCAACTGACTTCACCTGGCCCCGGCCAGACCTCAGGGCATCTCTGGGGAGACTGCACGGTGAGGAGGAGGAGAGTTGATCCTGAGTTCAAGTTTGCTACCACAGGACCTGAATCAAGCCGGCCACGAGCAATTCCAGGGCCACCACACACATCTGGCATTCCCTGGTGGCCCTAAGTCAGCGCAGTTGGTGCCCTCACAAAGCCTTAGCTTTCTCAGTGTCCCCCTCAGACGGTTCTAGTGAGGGTCCACCGTGCCCACAGCTCAGTGGCTGGCAAGAGGCAGACACTCGGAAATAGCCAGGAGAGGTCACTCTCGGGCAGGATCACCCAGCCACTCCCTTACCTGGAGGCTGGGAGTCATTGGTCCCCTGCACTGGCAGGGCGGGCATCCTGGCTGCAGCTCTGGCCTGGGCCTGGGGAGGGAGAGGGAGTCCTGATCAGCTGTGAAGGGACCCCCTGAGCTCTCGGAGCCTGGGGCTCCCTGAGACTGGGGGTCAGGGCATTAGGTATGCCAGCGGGCCTGAGGGGGGTGTCTGTGAACCTTCGAGGTCACATGTAAATGTGGTCCCTACAGATGTCCACGCTTCTGGGGTTCTCCCAGGGGCCCCCACCCATCAAATGTCACGACTCAATCACTACCTGAGGCAGCTGGAACATTGAGGCCCACTTCCCAACCAAATTCTCAGTCAAAAAGTCCCCAGTTCTCAAAACCCACTGGAACCACATGTGGGATGGAAGGAGGAAAGGGCTTCTGGGGGCTGAGCAGGCCACACGCCATGGCCACAGGGTTTACTCGGGAAACTCGCCCTAGAGCATGGGGTCTACCGAGCCCGGATGGAGGAAGCGCTGGGACAGAGCCAGCAGGAGACGGGCCTGTTCGCAGCTGCTCGTTCTCCATTCCTGCTGAAACTCCACTGCCCTGGCCTCCGGACACCTGCTCTGCCCAGCCGGCCCTGCAGTGAGCAGGCCTATCGGGAACTCCCAGGGGCCTCCGACACTTGATCCAAGACAAGCTCATCCTGGGGTAATCCCGAACGCCCCCTCAGGGGACCCAGGCTAACACAGGCCTGGCAGTTTACCTGCATGGCTTGGTCTACCTTCAGGTCTTCCAGAGATGGGTACAGGGTGGACATGTTTGCCCCTTGGAACACCTGCAGAGCACAGGGGATGAGGAGGGTGAGGGGTGAGAGGAGGCACGAACCCGTGCCCCTCAGCACTCTCAGGATGAGAAGGACATCAGGAAGGTACTATTATCCCCATTTTAGAGACTGGGATTTAAACCAGTCTGCTTGGTTCCCATCCCACCACGTTCCTTAGACTCTAGGCTTTAGAACCTGGGCCCCAGGATCACCCGAGACATGCTGACCAGGAAGAGCACGACCAAGGGTCACATCCTTCCCTGCCAGGTTTCGAAGGTCAGACAGGTTTACGAGGTCTGATGTCTGAAGCCCTAAATTCAGTCCAGCAGGTGAATAGTTCAACTGCATAGAGTTCAACCCGGTATCAAGTGAGTGAGGACTTAATATCACAACAGAATGGTGGCAGGCACTTTAGAAGTCCTCGCCTGCCCTGATACCCCTCACCTCTAGGCATTTGAGCTCCTACTGTTTACCACTCATTTCCAGCCTCACTAGTGACCCTTGATCTTGATCACAATAAAGACCGATGGAAATTCTTAAAAAAAAAAACAGGCACATTGCAGCATAATTTATACTCAACAGAGCATTGCTCTAAAGAGGGGAGGGCATGGGGCTTTGGGGGAGCACCAGAAACATTTACTAAATGCCTTCTAATTATCCCAGAGGAGAACTAGTAGGACCTCAGAGCAAGGGATCCCAAGAAATTCAAAGGAATTATCTGGCAGAAATGCTTTATTTCCTTCCTAGCTGAAATGGGAGGAAGGAGCAGTTTGTCTTTCTGGATTTGTTTCTGTTTATCCACTAACACATTGGCTCTCACCTCTCCAGGCCTTTGCTGGGCCATTCCGCTCCAGCTGGACACCCCTGCGCCACCCTCCTTGGGGTCAAAGGGTGTTCTATTCACCAGTGGGCCCGTATTCCCTGGGCCAGGTCCAGATCCTCTGGGCATCTCCCCTGAGTGACCCACACGGGCTGAGGTCATCCCCACCCATCACTGCTCTTTGTCCTTCCCTTGGCACCTGCTGCCTTGACCCTTGTGTCAAACTTAACCCTCCCCAGTGCTCCCCCCACCACTCCCCCTTCTAATCTTCCATCAAATCCCTTCTCTCCCATATCCCATTCCTAATCCCCACATTGTTGTACGGAACTCCACCACGCCCCCTGCCCCTCCATAGATGCCACAATATCCTCCAACCGGTCCTAGCTCCTCTAATGCTGTCCTCAGGCAACAGACCTTTTCTGCACCAGCCTGGGATGTCCTGCCGCTGCTTAAAGCCCCTCAGTGGCTCCCCACTCTCCAAATCCAGCCCACATCCCCTGAAGTGGCCAACAAGGCTTTTAACGATTCCCCCAGAGATGGCAACTGGTGGCTCACAGGCCAGAGGCAAACAGATTTTATTTGACCTGTATTTGACCTGTGCTGAGTACTTCATACATGCAAACTAGCAGCCTAAACACAGAACTCACGACACTGCGTTTAATATTCTAACTTCACACTGCTCCTGAAAAACAGGACACTCTAGCAACCCTGGACTGCAGCTGAGTCCACAGCCGAGCAGGGCGCCCCAGACCTCCCACCCTCTATCGTCTCTCACATCGAGGCTGCTTTACTCACAGGAGCCGAGTTCCAGTAGACGTTTGCTTGTAACCCCTGAGGAAGGCTCCTGCTTCATTTCTTGCCACAGGTGTTTCTCCCAACCTCCACCCTCAGCTCCAGCCACAATGAGCTACTTTCAGATCCTCCAGTTCATCGCATTGTCTCATGTCCCCAGGTCTTTGCATGCGTTTCTGTCTATCTGGAGCACCCCTCCACTCCTCCCACTCCCCACCTGGCTAACTCTCAATGATTTTCAAGTCCCAGACCAGAGGGCTCTTCTTCTGAGAAGCCTGCCTTGATCTGTGCTCCGTCTCCTGCCCTCCAGTCTCACCCACCCCTTATCCTTACTCTTTGATCATTCACTGCTCCTGTAGTTGACTCTACTTATCTGTCTACCCAGATTGGGAGTTCCAAAAGGGCAGGAACTGGACCAGCTAATTTGCTGTGGAACACCTAGCCTGGAGCAGGGACACTAATTCAATAAAATTTCCGGAAGTGATGCATCCTGCCTGAGCTTCCACTTTTCTCCTTGTAAAGTAAAGCTGTGATGTCCTAAGGACATCCACCATCCCAGGATGGAAACAAAGACAAGAGGTCCCAAACAGGTTTCGTTCTCCTCTCACACATTGTTTTGTTTTTTTTTTAATTTGAATTAGTGCCAATATTTTACAATCTGTAAATAGAAAACTCTTCACTTCTAACTTGCGTTGGGAAAAAAACTGAAATATTCGGCAATGCAAGAGCAGCAATCGTGCAGGGCAACACTCAGCCAGGTCTCCCTCTTACATGGGGTTGCACGCAACTTCTTGTTTCCCAAAGTATCATCCAGCCGGTGCGCTACTTGGCTCCTGGAAGCAGGCAGCTCCAGATCTTTGCCCTAGCCTCACCTTTGGGGCAGAAATAATCATCTCAAGAGGTCAGGGATTGTCCTGGGGGAGAGGGGGACTGGCTCTCATCTCCTTTAGACAAGCGGGGGGAAGAGACTCCTCTGCCTGTGGTCTTCCTCACTCTGCACACACTCTGGGAGATTTGCATCTTGGGACAGTCCTGAGGAGGTACCATCTGCCTAAAACATGCTCTGCCACCAGGATCATGATGTGAAAATAAAAGGCCACCCCTGCCCTGCTTTTTCAAACACTGAAGCAGCAGAGCAGTCATATTTTTAGCAGCTGCCCTCTGGGAGAGCAGAATCAGAGACTGACTTCCTGGGAACCACTCCCAGGCTAGGACCACGCAGCCCTTCCTCTGTGTCTGGGACCCCTTCACCACTGCCACTTGCTCTGGTCGCAACTAAGGTTTGGGCTCTGAGTGGAATCATGAAGCAGGTATTCCCCTTTCAGCAGTTCATGATACAGTGGGGAATGGCTCTGTGCCAGCAAATACGCTGTGTCTCATTCAATCATCCATCTATTCATGTACAACATCTGAAGGTTCACTGTGTGCCAATGAAAGTTATTTATCATATTATATGATTACTATCTGGGTATTTTCTCAAAGTGGACCCCATCTCAGAAGGGCAGCGACTGTCCAGCTCACCACCCTATGCTTCCCCACCAAAACAGCACCCCGCACCTGTATGCTGGCAAAAACTGTTATTTGACTGAATAAATCTGTAGTTCTCCAAGGAATAGATTGGAAATTTTTGTGGGCATTTTGGGGTGTCACAAGACTAAAGAGACTGAGCATTTAGGAAGCACGGAGCAGAGACCTGGATCTCCTGTAATGCATAGAACAGAACAAACTGTCCTTTGTCCTGTAGGACTTGCCAGTATCCTGCCAAACTTTCATGTAGGCAAAAAATATGTTTACAACCTGTTTTATATACAAATACAGTGAGATTTTCCCTAGTTTTAATATACATCATCCAGAAATGTATATAACAAGTTCACCGAGGGAAGTTACACTTTGTTTTGTTCCCGGTTTGGAAAATCACTGTTGATCCTTCTCCCCCAGGTGAGTCACCAGAACACGCCCATGTGCGTCTGCATTTGTAGCCGTCACAGTGACTCCACCCCTGTATACAATACATTTAGCCTTGGATTCAAGATGCCAAATGTAAGGTGTGGCAAAATTCAGTTGAATACCGTCAATCCAAACTCACTCATTTTAAGTTAGAATACAAGCATGATCAGGAACAATCCAGTCGGAGCTTTTACATAGTGAAGGGCATATTCTTTTATATTTTATACTTTCGTTGCCCTCATTTCTTATAGCACAGACAGGGCATCACGTTGCCTTCCCCTGGGCAGGAAGGGCTCCATCACTAAGTTACTCTTGTGGGGAAACTGCGTGGAGTCGGGCGGGGCACTTGCAGCTCAGCACCGGATCAGGAGTCGGGGCCCGGCAAGAAACCCGTGAAAGAATGGGAGGGACGATGAGGTCACAGCGGGTAAGAAATACCCCAGGACCGAAGGCGCTTCCGAAATCGGGGGGAGCGAGAGGGTTTCCTTTCCGGCACGAGCAACGCGCAGCGGGAAGCGCAGATGTGTCGCCTCTGCCCTCCTCCCCTCCCACGGCTGCCTTAGAACGGAATCTCGTCAGTCAGCAAAGGGCGGCTCGACCGCACCCTCGCGCCTTCGGGCGGCCGTACAGGGTCCAGGGGTCCGGAGTGTGGGGAAGCGAAGGGACATTCGCCCATTTAAAGCTCGATCTGACCGCGCATCCTCCAGTCCGGTAAAGAGGGGACACAGAGCCCGGCCAAGCCTTCCCATATCTTACTCTGCTGCTTTACCTGTTTTTTTGTGGATGCAGGCGCCAGCCATGAGCGCCTTGAGAAAGCAAGAGGCTGGGTGGATTCTAGGAACCCACCGGGAAAGGAACCCACCGGGAAAGCAACCCGGGCGTAAGGACACTCCTATTTCCGCCTCTTATTCTCGGGGCCCCGGGAGCCTCATGTCACGGCGCGCAAGCCTGAGTGGGTGAGACGCGTGCGCACCAGCTGCCGCAGCGCGCCCTAGCGGCCTGGCGGAGCCTCTGCCCCTGCGCCGCAATCCGTAGCAACCAGGGGAGGTCGCCTCCCTCCCGGTTACCAGCAACAGGCGGATCAGAGTGGGAGTCGTCTGGAGATCATTGATCGGAGATCGTCGGACAGACTGGGAACCTGAGGCTTGGAGTGAAAAACGGGCCCTAGGGACAGTTGGGACTTTCTCCGGTGCCACAGTGCGTGCACTTTGTGCCTGGCTGTATTCACAAAGCGGGAAATCAAGGCTGAGGGAGAGGGCGGGTTCATCCTGAGCGGTGGTTAACCCCACTAGGTAAAAAAAATCAAGACTCTGGTCTTGTGCTTCGCCGGGCAGATCACATCCCACAGCGAAATCGGACCCACAGCCTGTTAGAGATTCAGGCAGTTGGGTTTATGGGGTGCAGGACACAGGCTAGGGTAGCCAGGAAGGTCTGGAGGACGGAAGGGAGCGCTGACTGGATCCTGAAGGATAGAGAGTTCAGGAGGGTGAGAGTGGAGTATGTTACTACACGGATAGGGAGGCCCAGACTAACAGTCCAGCTGCCTTCCAGTTCTTTTACCACCTCCTGCAGGTTATTCAAACAACTCATTTCCCCCCAGCTTTGCTGCCCCTGTACAGTGACCGCACCAAATCCACCCCGTGGTCTGAGCCAGAAATCTGGGAGTTATCCTCAGCTCCTGCTTGAAGCCATACCCAGCTGCTGCCCTCAGGATAAAATCTCGAACTTCAACCTGACATTGGAATCTCCATGACCTGACTCCTAGTACCCTCTCCACGGACTCCCGGTACCCTCCTCACTCTTCCACACTCACGCTGCATTTCATTTATTCCAGACTGCTTGCTTATCCTAAAATTCACCCTGCTAGTTGATGCCTCTGTGCTTTCGCAGGTGCTGTTCCCTCTGTCTCAAATGCCATGCCCACCTTCTCCCGCCCCCTTCTTCACCTGCTGAACTCCTCTTCTTTCCCCCAAATCCTCAAAACCAAACAGGGGTAGGCAGCCTTCCATCTCTAAACCATGGAACCTCATATTCCCTTATCATTCATTCCTCTACTGTTTAGTAAGCATCTGCTCTGAGCCTGGCCTTCTGCATTTCCTGGATTTCCGCTGTGCTGTAATTGTTTGCCTGTCTCCCTCTCTGGTCAGAAATGTCACTCATTTCTGAAGCCCCAGTGTTGTGCCCAGTGCCTGGCACACAGCAGTCATCCAGTTACTATTTCTGCAAGAAATGGAAAAGCAGACACAGAGGGAAGAGAAAGCCCCTCAAAAAAAGTCCTTTGAAGGAAAACCCTGGGCCTGGAAAGGGAGACGAAACACTGCCCTGATGAGGTAGACTGAAAGGCTGGCTCCTGCAATCTGACAGTGGAAGAGTTTGCTCAGTTCGGTGCTGATGGCTTCCTGCAGTTAATGGGCTCCTCTGAAAGGAAAAGAACCAACCTCACCCATCTCACCCAGAGAAATTTTCCTCTCCACTGCACTTTCCAGAATTTCCATCCCTGACTTTCTATACTTTTTGACATTCTGAGCAATAACAGCCCCCACAACAAAGCAGCCATCAGGTCTTCAGAGACCAGCACGGCTGAAAAGAGGTCGTCAGCCCCATCTTTGGACTTTGGATTGAGAGCGCGCCTTTGGAACACTTTGTTCCAAAGAGCTGAAACTACAGGACACCCACTCGTTCCTGTGGACAGCTCATCCATCCTTCAGAAGACAGTGTGCGGGAGGGAAGCGTGGGTTAGCATGTCAGAGGAATAGCTCCTGGAAGGCCAAATTAGCCCAGGGATATGGTGAGTCGGAAAGGAAGAGGCTGTTGCTAGGCCACCAGCATATACTCCCCTCCTTCTCTCAGGCTGTACTGCCTACTGGAGAAACCCTGGACTTCTTCAAGGAATGCAGACACTCCAGAATCCAGGCCCAGGCGAGGCAGAGCAAGAGCAAGGACCTTGGAGGCAGGCAGGATGGGTTCAGACTGCTGCCCCTGATGTGGGAGAGCGAGCATGGACAAGTCCCTTTTGCATGTCATTTATTCCTTTATAATATGGGTAATGATACTGGCACCAGAGAGTTATGGAGATGAAAAGATTCTTAGATAAGATGTGTATGGAAAGGACTAGCACATAAAGGGCATGCAGTAATCATTAGCGATTGTTCATTTAGCCAGTATATGTACTGAATGTCTCTCCCAGGACTGTTTTAGGTACCAGTAATAAGGCAAGAAACAAAAGAAAAATCTGTCCTTGAGTGTTACTTCCTGGCTCAATAAATAAGTGTGACGCTGTGTTAGATGGTAGGAAGTGATGGGGAGAAAGATAAAGCAGGGTGGTGGGTACAGACAGCCCGCCTGGAGGTCCAGGAGAGCCTCATTGCCGGGGGTGGAGGGTGACAGGTGACTTGAGTAAAAGCCTAAGTGGGTAGGGAAAAGCATTGAGGCTGAGGGCACAGCCACTGCAGCGCCTGGAGGTGGGGGTGCTTGCTGCATTCAGGGAACATCTGACCGGTGAGACTGAAGTCAGCTCTTCAGAGCGGGGGTTAGTAGGAGAGGAGACTGGAGAAGTAGTGAGAGGGACCAGATCCCATGGGGGTGGTGGGCCATGTTGGGGACTGGCGTTTACCACTGGAGAATTCTAAGCAGCAGAGTAACATGATCTAACTTTTCGTTCGAAAAGGCCCCCTCTGGCTGGTGTTTGGAAGATCGATTAGAGGGACAGGGAGCCCGGGTGAGAAGTGATGGTGGTGGAGTTATCAGTATCTGGGCCACTGTAGGTAAAGCAGCCAGTGCAGAGCCTGCCAGTGCCTAGCAACCCCATTCAAAGCTCCACTTTCTGGGGCTTGCTGTGTGGAGGGCAGGTCCTGGCCCCTTACATCCATTACCTCATCAGTTCTCCTGACTGCGTGGGAGTCTCCCAGTGAGGACGCCAGTCCTCAGGTCAGGCCACCAGCCCGGATCCCCAGCACACTCTCCTTGCCGTGGCAGGGAGGTTGTTGATGGGAACAGCTTCAGCTGGAGAAGTAACAGAAACTGAAGCTGGTACCCTCAGCTCCTGGTGGAGATTGCTCTTTGGCCTTCCAAGGGCCCTCTTCAAGGAGCAAAGTGAGGGTCCCACCTCCAAAAGCACTGCCCGGGCAGTCAGAAGGAGCCTGGGGCCCTAGTGATATCTGGATAAACACCACCCAGCCCTCAAACCTGGCGCAGAGCTGGGGCCAGAAGAGGAAACCTCAGAGAGAAGCACCTTGAGAGGAAAAGGCCTGTTGGTCCCAGAAGGGCCAGGACAGGGAGGGAAGAAGACGGATGAGAGCAGGTCTCGCTTATCCCAGTCCCAGCCTCTGGGGCCCCGCTCTTACCTGCAGACCAGGTGCTGCTGCGTGCCTTCCTCCAGGCACTGCTGACGGAGTCTGCTCCTCTCCCTGGAAGGCGGTGGCCCTTGTACCAGCTGGGTTCCTGCTCCCTGGTCAGCTGACTCACCCGGACTGGGATGGGCCCAAGTCAACAAGGCAGGTCACCAGGCCCCGAGGAAGACTTTGGCCTTAGTCTGGATGTAGAATTAGGGTTAGGGGCTCACACAACTGCGGTTGAAAGAGGTATAAACCAAGCATCAGATCTGGACTGAACACCAAGTCCTACTGAACATGAGGGCAGTTTGACGGGTCTTACAAAATGGCCATAACCTTGTGACTCAGTATTTCCTCTTCTGGGAATTTGTTACAAGAAAATAAAGTAGGCAGTGAGGTCTCCAGGCCCAACACCATGTTTCTTGTAATAGGGACATCTAGACATCCCAAAACGCCCATCACTAGAGCTGCATTATTAAGGCAGTGTCTGTAGAAGATTATAAATCTGTCAAAGCCATTTAAGGAAGAAGCCATGAGGAGATGTTCCGGCAACATACTGAAAAATCAATACTGTGATAATCATCTTGTGTTTTGTTTTTGTTTTTTCAAAAGTGAATAGGCACTGGAACAGTCTGCAAGGACAGACCCTAAAATGCTAGAACTCTGGATGGTGGGGCTGTGGGCGGGGTTTTTGGTTTGTACTTTTGTGTGAGTTTCAAGGTGGTGGGGTTTGGTTTTGTTTTCTTTCGAAGTTAGTTTTTGCTTCCAATGTTTATGATATTTGTAAGGGGGGATCAAATTAAGACCAATTGCTTTAAAAAGGAAGTTAGGTGGGTTGTCTCCCGGAAGGAAAACTGAGGGACTGTGTGCTGAGGAGGGAGGGGATTTTTTAATAGCGCACTTTTTGATGCCTTTTAAATTTTGAAAAAATTGATTGTATTCGACTCTCTCTCCTAATAATTGTATAAAATGAAACAGAAAAGGGGGAGGAATTTAGCTGAGGTCCCAGTGGGTTTGGTTGTTCAGAGGTGCGTGTCACACTCGGTGTCTGGGGAGGGCCTGGCACCCACGTGCTGGGCTGTCCCAGGAGGAGTGACGCAGGGCAGCCGCCCAGGGCGGGCTAGTGTTTCAGAAAGGCAGCTGCCAATCATCGAGCGCTCAGTGCATGGAGAGCCCGCCCCACGGGCTTTACAGTCCTTATGTCAGTGGCTTCTGCCATCCCTGCGCAATAGGGCAAAGGCAAAGTCCCTCTTGCAAGCTACACAGCTGCACAGTGGCTCCAAGGTCCTGGTTTCTCCTCTGTGAGACAAATGCCCTTGAAGCTGAGGCATGGACACACCCCAGGGCTGAGCCATGTGGGCCTGAAGCATGTGATAAACCCTGGCTGATGACCGAACAAAAGTAGAAAATAGAGACCCCCAACTGAACCAAATGACACCCTCCCCTCCCCCCGACACACACACAGCTCACTTCACTCAGTCCAGGTCTGAAAGGGCCTTTTCAAGAAGATGGAGGAGGAAACCAGACCAGAAGGGTGAGGAATTCGCCTCGAGTCACACAGCAAGTCACACAGATCTGGGACTAGAACTCCTGTCCCCTGACTCCTACCCACATGCAGGGGCTTTCATTCCGCTCCACGCTGTTACAGCGGCCTCCCATCTCTGGCTCTCCCCTATTCCAGCCAATAAGAAGTTCTTTCCATTGGCATGTCCTTGCTCAGTCTTCAGTGGCTCCCTCTGAAGGGTGAGGGAGGGAGGGTCAGGGTCAGGGTCAGGGTCAGGACTAAACTCCAGACCTGACACTGAGGCCTCCTGGTCCACCCCCTTATTACCATTTCAATCTTGTTCCCTGAACGCCTCTACCCAGCCAAGCCACAGTCCTCTCCCCTTCATTTGCCTGGGCTGCTGCTTCTCCTGGAATGCCTCCCCCCACCCCACTGCACCTCTCCAGATGCACTGAGCTTCTCCTCCAGGAAGCCCCCCAGTCATCCCCATCCATGTGGCCTGTCCCACTTCTGAGCTCTGGATCAGAGTGTCCCGTTCCACTCTTTGATAGTAATCATCCTTTATTCCTGTGTACCTTAGGCTGTCAATTAGACCTGAAGTTCCATGAGGATCAGGACTTATTATTAGATCTCTAGGGGCTATTTTCAAAATAAAAAGTAGCACCTTGGCTCTGACCAGGATATATTTCTGCTTTGTTATACATTTGTGTGAACAATCTTCAAAAGTCTAAAACAAGGTGATCCAATATGCGGCAGACACTCAGAAACTCCTGAACAGCCCCCCGGCAGACCTGAGTCATCAGCCACTATTCCCCTTCCTGCTGAGCCCAGAGGCGGCTCAGAATTCTCTCACAATAGTGCTGCTGGCAGCCAGTGCCACCGGCTTTGGCCTGTGAGATGAAAACTCTGTGCCATATGGGGCAGGCGCTCCATGAGGGCAGGGCTTGTCTGTGGGGTCCCTATCCGTCGGGTATAGCACCAAGCCTGGTACACAGTAGGCTCTCAGTAAGTATTAATTGAATAAATGAATGCCCCTCCTAGGAAGGTCAATCAAAGTCATAAGCTCAATGACTAACTCTTATTTAAAACATAGGCGGGGCTGGGGCATCAGATCTTAAGTCCCAGATCTGTGACTTTGCAACACGTTCCCAAACCTCTCTGAGCTTCAGTTTCTACATCTTCAAATGGAGCACTGCTACCTGCTCTACAGGCTTGTCCTAAGGATTAAATGAGTCACAGGCAGTGCCTGGGACATAGCTGGCACTCAATAAATGTCAGTTTCCAACTTCCTCTTGGAATGAGTCCAGCTCCAAGTTACAGAAACAAAAGTATTCTGGTCCAACTGAAAATGGAGGTGCTCTTCCCAGAAGAGCAGGGATGGCTGCTGGGCAGAGAGAAGCACCAGCTGCACATTCTACCCTTGGCACGGAATCGGACGGTGTAGAGAACCCAGGCTACGTCACCACAGCTGCGTGGGCAGCCCTGAATGGTAACAGACCTGAATGGTAAGAGAGAGAGCTCCCTTTGCCTGCTGGGCACTCTGCTGGGCACTGGCTATAACCCAGTTTCATATTTTTCCCAGAAGCCCCTCAATTCAGAGAATGAAGCACCTCGCCCAAGGCCACACAGCCCTGAGTGTGAACAGGCCTTGGATGTGAACTGAATGGGGCCCCCAGGGCTCCAGGAGTCTTTCCCAGCCCCATGCAGCTGATCACAGATTTCCCAGGTGGTGGCCAAGGGCAAAAGGAGTCAGAGGTCCAAGGGGCTGACGTCCCACACTCCTTCACACATGTACCCCGCTTAGTCCCACCAGCATCTCAGCCCCTTGCTTGGAAGCGCAGGCGTCTGCCAGAGACCCCAACCTACAACGCCCTCGAAATACCCCGAAGTGTCATCCTGAAAGGGGCATAGCTTATTGGATGAGCTGTGGAATCCCAGGCTGCCTGGGCTTAAATCCCTCCTCTTAGGCCACGTGGCCTCTTGGCCTCAAGTGTCCTCACCTGTGACATGGGGGAATGGTTTCACTTTGTATTTACTGCACAGATGATGCACTCAAGTAATGCCAGGCTCATGGAAAGAGCTAACTAAATTTGAACTCTTGCAATATCCACATTATTGGATTATCATATTATCCAAGTAAGAAAAATGTTATCCATTACTGTTTAAAGGTGACCAAAGATCAAACATACGGAAATTACTTGCATCCTTTCTGGAACTTAAGTCCAGGTTAGATTCTTCCCTGAGACAGTTAGAAGCTTCCAGCAAGAGAGAAGCTACCGTCCTCAGAGGCCCTCCTGCTCCGATGGCCCAGCCATCTGGGCCCTCGCCTCCTCCATCCTCTCCCCTCCGATCCTGTATTTCTCCAACTGCAGTGGCCCCAGCCACCTGCACCAGAGACCTCTTGGCAGGGGACACTTTTTAAAAATATAGATAGCAGGGTCTTTGCTGCATCAGACTCTGCATTTGACTTACCTCTTCGGGTGATTCAGACACAAATGCAACGTGAGAACTACTGTCTTGCTCCCTCCTGACCCAGTTTCTTCCCAGATCCAGTGCCTACAGTGTGCTAAGCCTGGAGCCAGGGGCTTTCCATCCCTTACCGTCATTAACCCCCTAAAAATTAAAAAAATGACCATTTGCGTGTTGTGACAAATAAGGAAACTGAGGCTCAGAAAGGGTATGCCGTAGGCCCATGATCACACGTGGTAAGTCATGGAACTGGGACTTGAACCCAGAATCTGTCTGCTGTTCCCTTGCAAATGTGTGCTCTCCCTTAAGTGCAAGCCACCCTTATCAGTCTGGGCCCGGGTCTAACTTTGTAATTCCCTGGTGAAAGCTGGTTGCCGCAGCCAAGCTTTTTGGCCAGAGGCACAGGAGAAACATCTAAACAGAAACTAGCAACTCGGGGTGGGGAAAGGTCAGCAGTTCAGAGAGCTGTCTTCAAAGGGAGTGTCAGCATTTTGGGCCGGGGGAGGGGAGTCAGCCGGGGTTTGTGGTCGCCGGTCAACTGACACCAGCTGCGGGTTACTTAAGCAGGAGAGGAACTGTAATTAAAAGCTACTGGGGCCCACAAGCTCTGAGAAAGTCAGAGAGCCCGGCCTGAGGGCCTCAAGGCCCAGACCACCCCCCAGCCCCCAACCCTGGGGCACTGGTGTGGCAGCCTGTCCCGCTGACACCCAGACTTGACAGTCCCTGCAGAATCTCTGTCCCCGATGACTCCAGACACTGGATGCTGGCACTGCCAAAGTAGGGCTGTGTGCTCCCACCTCCCCGGGTCATGATTCCCCCAAAGGTCTGCGCCGGGGGCCTGTGACTGGGGGAGCCTGGGTCCTGTGCCCAGCCCTCACTGCAAAGCATGCTGGAAAACTGCCCTACCGGAAGCGGCATTAGGTAGGGGATTCACCCAACCTGGGAAGGCAGCTGGAAAACAGGGCAGCCGGTAAGAATGCGA